TTGCGTACCGTCCCTGCTCTCAATGGGACATAGATTTAGATTGTCCTTTCAATTTGGAAACTTTTCCCCCCATGTAGATTTCACGAAAACTGTATTGATCTCGAGATAAATGCAAAAAATAAATTACTTGTAATAAAACCGTTATTTCTCAAACACACTTATTTGACATTTCTCAAACATTTTATTGGGAAATAGAATGACCGAAAGCTTCCATACCAAATGAAATTCAGTTGCAAAATTAGGATGAATTTTTTGAACACCATTATAATTAAAACTAGGACAAACAAAGAAAAAATGTTTTTATTTCAAAAAAACTCCTCTAACTGGATTGCAAAATCTGAAATTGTATTGTAGAAAATTCTAGGACACCCTGTATAACTGAAACTGGTTAAACTTTCGATATCAGGGACTGTATGACACACGGTTTAGGCGCTATACATCGCTAGAAGTCCATCCTTATCGCTAGACTGTCGCTTCTGACGGTTGAGGTGTAATTTAATCTCGTGAACGGCAGTTCTAATTTTATCAGTACCCTTAGAAGTGGTTCTCATCTTGAAATCCATACAGTTTTCGAAAAACATACATGGGGGCAAAAAGTTTCCAAATTGCAGAGACAAACTGAATCTATGTCCCATTGAAAGCAGAGGCGGCACGCAAAAAAGTTCTACAGGGTTAAATTGGGTACGACCCCTGAAAGTCTATCACCCTGTAGGTGTCCAAAAACGCTCAATAGCCTCAAATATTGAGTTTTTGAAGTGTATCAGGTGTACCAAATGTCAATCAATTATTCCGAAAATTGTAGGATAAAATTCAAAAAACATAAGAAAAATCTGAAACTTTGACACCCTGTAAATCGGAAACGAAGCTCCCACGCATATATGTTTATTTGGGATTTTCATCTGGAAGAAATGTCTTCTTCAAGCTGTTAAAGTCCTGCTACAAAAAACTGAAACACCCTGTATATATAAAAAAATTTTTTGGTCATTTATAACGAAGATACAGGGTATTAAGTGGAATTTACATATAACTTTGATCGCCGATATTCCAGATATGATTCATCGTAATTGGCTGAAATTTGGCAGCGACGTTCCTTCATTGAAACTATCTAATATGGTATATCATGCATGAAAAATACAGATCCGGACTTGGAGAAAATTAATTTTTTATTGTTATGTCATGAAAGTTCACTTTGTGATCACTTTTCTCGAAAAATTTCAATAGATTAAGAAAGATCAGACAGAATTCCATAAGAACTGGTCTTCAATTCACATGGCACACGTTGACTGATTCAATGAGGGAATATGGAACAAAAACGTTCAAATGAAATACGAATCCGATGAGATACCGTTTCTATAAAATACGGGCTTGACACATTACTGTTTCTATGAAATACGGATAAAATGAATTATCGTTTTCATTGAATACGGGTCTGACTATTCACAGGTTCTATGAAATTCGTTTCTATGGAGTACGGGTTTGATGAATTATTGTTTCTATGGAATACTAATCTGACAAAATACCGATTCTATAAAATACGGTTTCTATGCAGAGTTGTTATGACCAAATACGTTCATGATGGTTCATTGGTTCGATGAAATACGGTTTTGCCGAATGACGGTTTCTATGAAATACTGTTATGACGAATTGATATTCTGATGGAATACAGTTCTGATAGATTACCAATTTGATGGAGAAATAGTTCGATAGACTGTTGTTGCGACAGAATACGGATATGATAATTTACTGCCTCGATAGAATATAGTTCTTTTTTTTTATCGCTTGGAGCGCACGAAAGGGAATCCCTATAATGTTCAAAGAACATCGTGCGTTCCTGGGCAGGATAGGGACAGGAGGTAGGTATTGGAATTTTTTTTGAACTTTTGTAGATTATAATTATGTTGTTGGGAATACTTCCACAGGCAATGAATTCCAGAGCCTAGCCGTTCTATGGATGAAGGAGTCTTGATAAGATACAGATATAATGGAATGGTGACTCTTTTTAAAACCATTTTGATATAAAACTGTTTGATGATATACGTATTGAAATTTTATATTTCGATGAAGTACGGCTTGATGTTTCACATTTTGATATTTTAGGTCCTACAGAATACAGTGTCGATTATATACTATTTGGACGATTTACCAATTCGATGAAATATTTTTCTATAGATTTTAATTCGATACGTAATATTTTGACACATTAGGTGTCCCCGTCCTGGACAGAGGTCAGTATTTCTGTTTCTTGTTGAAAATTCAACATATTATTTCTGGTGCGGTAGTGCGAACAGTATTTATAATGCGGTAGTGCACATATTTGGGTGTATTTTTCTGAACTTGATTCATTTATATCCTGTAGAGTTTGGAGTTCGTGTTCTCCAAAAATATGAATATGTATGGCAATTTTTTGTGTCTAATTAGCCCTCTCAATTTTTTCTGATACCATGCAAACGGTGTCAAATTTTTTATGATTGTCATAAGGTATGATCAACCTGAACATCATAATTAATTGAACATGTTTGCCCTGCCCCAAAGGTAATTCATATGAAGATGAAGCATATAATGCTGAAGGATGAAACTTTCAGAGTTCAACTGAACTTGAACCCCGATTCTGACAAAATAATTTCGATAAATCATACGGATTTTGACACTTACCCAATTCCAACAATTACTCAATTTTGACATTTATGATTTGCGACTTCCATTCAAGGAACGTTAATGACACATTGTTACTGCCTCGGTTACTGCAGCCCACAATATATAAATTTACTGAACATAATAAGAAGAAAAATTCTTTCGACTTGTTGACCTATTTCTTTCTTGAGAAAGGGGCATGTGTAGCGTTTGAAATCGCTTCAATGAGTTTTCAGTACATTATCTTCCTAATTAGTTTGATTTCATATGGTGTATATGAATAGTTATATGAGAGAAGTCACATACTCACAGAGAACGCTAGTTATTTGATAGTCTTTGATTAATCAGATCTTGATCTTCATTATGAAACACATACAGCTGATTTCAGTGAGAATATCAAGTATTCCGATTATTTCTCCTGAGACTCAGCATACCTGTAGGAAGTTATGATCATGGTTCTGGCTTGGGAAGTATGATTATCAGACACCTACTCCGTTTCGAGATGAAACAATAATTGATTCACCTGTGGTGTTCCTCAGATTGTTGATACCGTTATGGACTCAAGATGGTCTTTCTATTTCAGACGTAGTCGTTCGAGATCATTTGTTTACTTCAATGTTCTAGTATTTTTTCGTTGGTTAGGTATATCCTGTTCTTTCTTCAGCGTGAAACTCCGGTCGTCATGGAAATCAAAAGTCATTAGCCTTTGTTGTTTACTCACATCATAGACTCGCGAAAAAAAAAGAAGAATAAGAAGATTCTCTTGTCTTAGGTTCCTGTTTTGAACAAGTTCATTCTTACTACTGGTTCTTAGCCCTCATCTCAACCCATAGGATGCGGAGAAGGTATGTTCACTTGGATTTTTATTGTGTCGTGAGCGGTCGGTGTTAGGAGTAGGGAAATGAGGGTTTTCATCAAGTGTGGTGACGATCTTCTCCATCACTCGGTGGAAATCTTGTTGAATATTAGATTTTTTCAACGTTCTCAAGACTAGGCGTAATCACCATCACACATTTGGGATTTGGGAGCTCGATGATTCTCCGCTGCTTTGGAGCCCCCTGGGAGTCATGCCACGTGCCTCAGCCAATATGTTTCTTCTTATACTTCAACAACTATTCCCAAAACGTGAGTGGTGTTTCCGAGAATTGGCTTAGTCAGTAAGCATTTTTTACCACGTTTTTCCCACCAGTTCGGAGCAAGAGGACATATTTATCTATATGCTAGGGTGCTGGGAGACGCTAGGGTGTGCCTAGGGCACTAGTGGCCGTCTGGCTAGCCGCTGATCTCTTGAGCTGCGTTTCGTTAGCACACCGGTAGAAGTACTTGGGACGAAAAGGGCTACGAAACCCAGCACACCAGATCGAAGATGGCCCTTTTGCTTTCATCTCTCGCTACAGCTGATTTTTTGAGCTGCATGCTGTCGTCGCGCCGGGAAGAATACCCAGGGAGAGACTGCAGAGTCCAGCTCAGTGAATAAGTAAAAGAACTTCTGGATTAAAAGCTGTCGGCACGCGGGGAGGAATACCTGGGAGGAACGCCTGCAGCACTCTGCCCAGCAGTTCAGCATAGATCTTCACCAGCGCAGATCTTCAAAAACACAGATTTCCAACAACGTAGTCACATATACTGCCGTTACTACCCATATCAGACCGTGATAGGGGCGGTACGGACCTCTCGAGATGACCCTTTATCTTATTTCTATCAGGATATTTTTAGGGCCATTGTTAGGGCCGAAATCTAGAAAATCAACATGATTCACCATATCCACGTGTGAAACTCCTTGTGAAGCTCCACCATGGTACCATGAGACAGCGATCCCAGTTTTACATTCTCTTGATGATTTTTTCCCAGCTTAACGATCAGTAGAATGACGACAATTCCCCTTCATGTTCAATTACTTAGATATTTGGGAGCTATCTACATCCACCTGATACATGCCTAGTTTGGAGTATATGTTAGGATCGTCCTCTGCGGTGACCTGAATTTGCCTTGTCTGGCTTCGGCGTAATGAATAGGTTGCAGGAATATTCTTGTTTCATTTTATTACCTGCTCATCTCGATATATTCAGGAAGCAGTTCCTTCAAGTAGTTGTTATTCACCATTAGTTATAATTTTTTGGTATCTCCAATTATCCAATTCAACTATAAGCTTGTTATTGAATTGAGTGGCGTCCAAATCTCGAATATCAAACTCGAATCCACATCTAGTGTTCTCTGGCAAAAAGCAGCCGTTTGCAACGAGTAACTCATTTTTCCATTTTCTTGAGTAACAATTCAGTGGTTGAGAAAATTTAGCAACAACCTGTTACCATCGTGAAGTCAAACTATCAAAGACAATATTTAATTATAGCGAATGATATAGAACTCACCAGCAACTTGAAGCGTAGCATTTCTGCTTGAAACAGTTCCAGCCACATTCTTTGCCACGCACCAATACGTTCCTGCATCTTGCTCCTTCTTGCCATTCATAGTTCTGAGGAAGAATAGCGACCCGGCTGGCAGCAGCACCCTGTGAGATTTGTTATCCATAGGGGAAGTCTTGACCAGCTCGCCATCTTTATACCATTCGATATTCGGATCAGGTCGGCCCTCAGCTTTGCAGTTGAGCGTCACCGGTTCATTTTTTGCAACGATGATATCCGAAGGATGTTCGGTTATACGCGGTGAACGATATTGGGCTGAAACAAAAATACGAACTGAATGAAGAATACGTGATGAAGAAAAGTTTTTTCAGTTTCAATGCAACATGAAGGGCTTTTATGACGGAATTGTATGGAGTTGTATGGAAAACTTGAAACAAACTTATTCTCACTAATACTTCACATGCAACAAAAAATACTACATTCAGTTTCTAAGTATATCGGAGCTCAACAATATTCATGTGAAATTCCTACTTGAGGGACACTGAGGGTCCAATTTGGGATTATAGTTATTTGTATGTCCTAACTAGTTTGCAAAACTGAGCTATAACACTACAAATAGAATGCTGATACAGCTATCTGCAGCCCACATGGAGAGCTCGATCTTGAGGTCATTCGAGAAGAATGTTGTTGTTAGGCGTGCTCGCATCAGGAGAGGCTCAGATATTATGGTGCTCAGCTGCCAATTCATTATTAATTAGTGTTTTTATCACATTTGCATTCATGGTTCTCATTATCATCGTTTCAATCCCCCTGATCATTTTCTGGGAGTTGGTTTACCTTGATAGACAACAGACTGAGTTCAAAAGAGGGCTGGTATTAGACGAAAACTGGAAATTCACATGATATTCTCTCAGCAATATTCGATAATTATTGTGACATGGTCTCGAAATGAACGTTTAATCATTTCTAGTTTTTTGTGAACTTGAGTAGAGGGACTACAGGGCTACCAGGGCAAGCTAATCAGAGACCAGCATTTGGTTGGAGGCCACGCCCACTAAAAACCGGCGCGAAATTCAAATTATTCATACGTCGTCACGTCGCCATCGTGAATAATAGTTATTTATGTATCAAGGAAATTATGAGGGCCTTAATTACCGATGGCAAAGTTTGCGTCCCGAGGGCCTCTGGCCCGAGGGACAGCAATTGCCTGAGGTTATTGAGGCTCAGTAATTCCCGTGATACATAGATAATTTTATTTCTGACTGATTTCATTCATTAGATACCTTCCCGATTGGAAGTTAGACATGTTTTTCCGTATAGTTTCAATGTCATCAGAACGTCAGATGATGATCTTGACTACCGCGAATAGGAGATTCCTTATTGCTACGTTACTGCGTGGTTGTTGCTATGCATTTCTTATTTAATTTTAGTTAGAGGGAATTATAGCATCTATAACATCCCAAGGGAGTTATGACCCTCATAATAGATATCCCAACTATGACGATATAAGCTTATAATGTCACTGTCAGAAATAAATAAATTAAAAAAAGCTGTCACCGCTGGGGAATTGAACCAGGGACCTTTGCATTATGAGGCAGCGTATATACGCACTGTGGTATTCCGACCTCCGTAATATTTCAATTATTTTAATGCTATTCGAACGGGATATCCATCGCTGGCGCGCGCTTATCTTTGCAACGGATCTATCGAGGTGGAGCGAAGCGAGAGATGCGTTTCAGAGATAAGAAACTTCGAGTCGAAAATAATATCCATCGCTGGCGCGCGCTTATCTTTGCAACGGATCTGTAGAGGTAAAGCAAAGCGAGAGATGCGTTCTAGAGATATGACACAAGTATTACATCGAAATTAATTTATGGTGAGATATTTTCATGTTGGTTTTATCGACAATATACACACAACACCAAATGAAGCTTATGCTGATAAGAGTCGTGTGCAGCGATAACCGTCACATTGTTGCCAGACGTTGAAAATTATCATTTATGAAGTCGATGTGGTGTTGTCAGATTTTCAAAAAATATCTGTTGTCGCGTAATACATGACATATGACGTATGACAGATGATGTTTGCTATATGATGTATGTGGGGAGTGGAAGGATACGAGAACAACTATATATTATAATGAAGTATTTTATTTAAGTAATCCTTTTCTACAAAAATAACATGCCTCTTGAGGAGATGGCGATCCATCCCAGTGTGTGGTCCAATCGGAACGACTATAATGAACGAAGCATGGCAGTTTGATTTGTAGGTTGAAGTTGCTGCGATATTCTTGAGGAAGTTTGTGCCACACCCTTAATAGCCCATAAGGATCTGCATATTCAATGAGACATTCTACTGGAATGTACTGCAATTCTTGTTCAGTGAATTTTGTCAGAGTCAAAGCGAAAGATTTTATAAACTCCAATAGCACAGCTATTTCAGACTTCATGATTTTTCGAGCAGAGCTAAAATATTTCAGATGCTACTAGTCTCGCGTCAAGTTGTATACTGATGAAATAAAAGAAAACGAGTCACATTTCTCACAACATTTTGTTCAAATCAGACATAACCTCATTTTTACAATAATAAAAATATTCTCGGAGAGCATTACTAGACATACAATCAGAAACATCACAAAATCCAGATATAAGCTCTTCCGCACCCAAATCAGTCAGGCTATTTCTAATCCAATCAGCTATAGTATTCAAAATGTTCTGATAATACATGGAAAAGTCTAATTTGATTATTAGCGCAACTCGATGTGAAAGAACACACGTTTCAGCCCTCAAAATGTCTGCAACATCCTCTTCCACCAATTCGAATGTAATGTGGTATTTGGTGAGTGACAACATTTTGACACCATCGCAAACGAATTTGGTTATGGTGATATAGTCTCCGCTGGTGGTAACGGCAGGATCATATTCATCAATGAAACAGGGCAGGGGTGCTTCAAAGAAGTCTTGTTGTACCTTATACAGCGAATCTATGTAGGTGGCCCATTCATATGTGGAGAACGGAATTTTCGCTGGATGGAAGGGTTTCTTCAGGATGATGCTCGGACTAAACTGTCTAGCTGGACTAAGTCCGCACTGAATCATGTAGGTGGACAACTGGAACGATGAAGTCAGCAGGAGGTACGATTCAGCTTTCGCTGCTTGCTCAACCATCTCCAAATACGTATCAACGTCACCATAATAATCCATCATTGCCAATGAACTAGTACTACCGTTTTCGAAAAACACTTCACAAGACGAATAACCGTCGAGTCGATACTCATTGCTATCAAACTGATGTGTTGAATTGGGTCGGTCCTCACTATTCATACCACCACTGCTGACTCGTCACAACATCCGATAATGGTTGTTATTTGTCAGCGATCGACGTGAAAGGCCCCTCACATTCATTGAATTCGTGCTAGTTTTCCATATGTTTACATTATAACTTGTTGGTGGAATCAATCCAGCTGTTGTGTGTATCATCGAATCCTAGCCATTTGACAAACACCTTTTTACCCCTCTTCCTTAAAACTTTTTCCACTAGGTAAACATCGGAATTTTCAGTTTTTTGCAATTCTTCAGGATAAAAGGCACCTTTGATAAAAAAAAAAGTAGGTTTCGTAATACGAACTTTAACGATTTTAAATAGTTCAGTAGTCCAATTTGGTGTATAATTCTTTTCGAAAACATGTTTGGCTTTGCTTATTCTCACAATGTCACCAACGTCGAATTTTCTGGTTCCAGCAATTTTGATGTGATTGTACGTGGATTTTAAAATATCTTGTTCGTTGGCTTCGGTGACGTAACTGGGCTTGCATCTAATCGTCGTATGTTTCGTGTTATTATAATTTTTTGTGATTTCAGGCAGGACATCTATTCAACGGTATGAGCCATTCAAACTAAAGTACTTGTATAGTTTTTCCTTCAATGTCCGTATAACACGTTCAGCAATGGCTGCCTTCATTATGGTGTACGTATGATAATGGTTGATGGAGAACTTTTTCATCAGACTTTGAAACTTTTCGTTGTAGAATTCGGTACCTTGATCGGTTTGCAAGTTCTTGGGAACTCTGGTGTTGCCAGCATGTGTTAGGATATCTGCAAATGCTCGAGCAATTTCAGTACCAGTTTTTGATTTCAATGGTCGAGTCCATAGGTACTTGGAAAAACAATCAATCACAACCATTATCAGCTTATGATCCTTATTTACAGAGGCATAGGGTCGCATTTCGGCCAGATCCATTCGCCATAGGTCATCCAAGCCATTGATGATGATGCGACGTCTCGGGAATTTCTTACGTGCAGGTCTATGTAATTCATTAACGAGTTGGATTTTTTCTTTAGAATGTAACATGTTGACAACGTGGATAATGATGTAAGAAACGATGTCACAAGGAGATTATATGATTTACAAAGGAGGTTTTGTTTTTGGTGATGGTTGTGTTGGTAGTGTCACAGTCGAAGATTTTGGTTCTACAATATTGGTGATATCCGTTTTGATTTTAGCAATGGCATCAGCGAGCTGACGTTCTTCATCATGACTCTGTTGCTATTCAACCCTTAAATCGTGCAAACTCTTCACAGTGTTGTCAATCTTATCAACAAGTCCTAAAATATTTTTCACATTCGAGTCGATGTCGCTTTTGAGTTTTGGTAGAGAATTGTTGCGAAGCTGCTCCACATGTACGCTAGTCTTGTGTACTATGCCAGACAACTGAACAAAGTTTGTATTGTACGATGTTAGTTCAAGATCATGTACATCCACTCTCTTCCTTTCTTCGATTATTTTGTTGCTGAAGCCAGCAAGGTAATTTCGGATTTTTCCACCGTAATTATCGAAAGCAATCTTGAAATCTAACTTTATTTGCAATATAACTTCATCCACATATCGTTTGTTTGCAACATCAGCGGCATCTTTTGGCAGGTTTACGTTACACATCTTCAAATGACCAACATCGATATCACCGGTTGGAGTATGTGAAAATCTAGATCTGACTGTCACCATCTGAGCTAAGCGTGGAAACGAACCACGTCCGAATTTGTCGAGACTCATTATGCTAATGACTAAAGTATTGTACGTCGGCACTTTGCCTCGTCAATTAGCCCCGTCACTCATAGACATGCCATGGAACTGTCACGGAAGTGTCATGGAAGTGTCAAGGAAGTGTCA